AATACGCTATTTGATAGAAGAAAGCCTTGACTTTCTATTGGTTATAGGTAATATGTAATGAAACGTAAGAGAGAACTATCAACAAATTGTGAAAGAGGATGTGGCAGGAGGGTTCTGATTTTCTACTTGATAGCTCTGTAACCAAACAAAATTGAAGGCTATAAAAATTATGGTTTGTTTGAGCAATAACGATTTTATACAGTATTTTATGTTTAATTTCGTACTTTTTCGAGGGTTTGTTTGTTTGTAATTAAGCATAAAGCTACACAATGTTCTGCCCTCCACGATTTTATAGAGTATTTTACGTTTAATTTTGTACATTTTTGAGGGATGATAGATAAAATAGATATGATGACATGCTAAGACAAAATGTTTCACGTGTATCACACTAGTGGAAATTCAGAATTTTTTAATATACATATTTCCTTGTAGCATAAAGAATTTAAAACTTGTATACTATTCAATTATGGACTTTTCCAGGGGTACAGTGAAATTCCAGGATGTGTTCAAACCCTGTGCATGTTCAATAACCAGATAATTTACCATGAACAGTTTAAAACAAACAGAAAAACACTGCACACAAAATAAAACCATCATAGATTTGTAGCTGAATGACAATAACAAACTAGCACTTATTATAGAGGCTCAAGTTGATTGCTTAGAATGTTCTGATGAAAGTTGGAAGCAATTAACAATATTTTGCTTGTGAAAAATCTGATAAATGCAGGAAACAGTATCATGTAAGGTCAAACAACTACTGTATACAGAAGATTTCTACACAAAAGTAAGAGGGTATTATAGGAGTTACACAAATCTGACAATAAACACTTGTTGTAAAATGAATGAAATTTCTATACATTGATATGGCTAACTGGTGACCTAGAAATTAGTTACCTTACTAGTTCTCCATGTTATTTTTAGCAAAAAAAGAAGAAAAAGATCCACTTTTGTTAAATTATATTTCTATAAAGAAAAATATGAACATGTGGTGGTTTTGGAAATAATAATAGAAAGAATAATTCAAGCTAATAATATACATGTACACATAATGACAATACTTTTATATTTAGTTGCAATGCTTAGGCATCTAGTTTGATTTAATAACTCAACAGTAAAAACAATTTTAGTACATATACAATATAGAACAGCATGAGTCTAAAGCTAAATCAGATCAACTGAACAGTGAATTTATTATTAAACCCACAGGATGAAAAGTTTTATATACTCACCTGAATTTCTCGAAATGATATAAGCATATTCAACACAGCATCACCAGATATGATATTTGGGTCATCTAATCGTCTCTTCATGTTGTGGAGAATCTATATAATATGTAAAAGTTATCTTTGTAATGTTAAATATAAGAGTATCAATACACTGATACCTGACATTAACTTTATTTGAAATAATATAATTTCATCATTCATTAATCATATAAATCATCAAGTCTTGTAATAAACATAAAGTACTCAAAATTAACTCACCTTAGCAAGTTCTTCTCCTGAGTAACTTTCACGAGCTTTTCTTAGATCAGCCAAGAATTTTTCTTTCATGTGAGCCCTAAATATAAAAGTGTAAAGTTACATCTATAGTTTTAATCTATCATATGATGTATTATATTACATTGTTGTCAGTAAAGAGTAGTCTATTTTGTCTTCAATTTGAGCATTTCTTTCTCAGTATTCAGATCAATAACCTTAGGGAAGTATTTAAAGGCTCTTATGCTATAGATAAAACATGACTTCACTCTCACCAAGCACGTCAGTCAAGCAGATGCTGTAACACTACCTGCTCAGCCAATATTGCTAGTACCACCCAGTCTAGCCAGCACACCCAAGATGCCTCCTTCCATGATTGTCGAGGGAATCCCGGGTGCATTCTGAACTTGCAGCCCGGGAGATTGAAGAGCATAGGATGGAGTGTATCAAGTCAGCCAAGACCAGAATACCCATGCCTCTCACCAAGTTTACCCCCATGGATACCAAGAAAGTGGACAGTCATCAGCTCAGGTGTTCTATTCTTCTCTCATCACCCAGTAGAAGCAGTCCAAGAAAAAGGCCCCAAGGTTGTGCAGTGCTTCAAGTATCAATGTTTTGGGCACACAAAGACAGCTTGTACAATGGTAGTTCATTGTGTCCAATGCAGTGGACCCCACTCAGTAACAGATTGGGAGCAAACCAGATGCGCCAACTACCACTGACCACGCAATGCTACCTACCGGTGCTGCCCGAGATTCAAGGCTCTGTCTGGCTTTCAGGATCAAGCCCCTTCAGCTCCTGCCACAATGAAACTCAGGAAGTCACTTCAATGCCAGGAACCAGCTCCTACACCATCAAGCAACCCAAGCAACAGCCAGGATTCCTCCAGATCATTACTTCAACCACCAACCTCATAGACATATGCAAAAGCCGTTCAAGATCAACCTGCACCATTGAAACCACCTTCCGAAGTGGTATTTTTCTATGTCAGGGTAATCGCCTTCATTGCAGAAGTCATCCTTATCACCAGGGAGAACAATCTCACAAAGGACTCCTCGTACCTGGCCAAGGAAATTTGCTCAATAGCAGGCTACTACTTTGAATTCCCGAGCTGAGCAACCTGATCATGCTGACTCAATTCCTGGATCGACAACACGTGAGCAGAAAATTACGGCAAGGTAAGCCTTTCAGCTTTTATTTAGTTTAATACTGGTAGTTCTTTTACAAAGTAATATTCAGGGCAGGTTATACTATAAAAAAATCAAACTATTTCAACTATGTAAATCCATCAGAGCAGATGTCATAGCATTAATGAAACCTTATTTAATGAAAAAAGTAGTTTTAATTTACCTGGTTTTAAAATTGTTCACAAACCTAAATTAATTAACAGTCGAGGAATAGCTTTACTTTACCGAGAATATATTAAAATCACATTTCCAGCTAACAGATAATAATGAGATAATTTTATGTTGCATCCATCCATCCAACTCGCCCCCGTTTACTCTAGTTCACCTGTACATTTCACAGTTTCACAACCCAATGTAGAGTTATTACAAAATTTATGCAATCAGTATATCAATACAGTCATAACTGGTGATCTTAATGCTAAACACATAGATTTTAATTGTTGCTCTACCAATGCTAATGGAAAAATAATAAGTAAGCTTTTAGAAAATAACAATCTAGTCATTATTAACTCTGCTAACATGACTCACACACATGTGAATGTCTCTCAAGACATACTAGACTTTGCTGTTGTTCCCACAGCTTTACTTCATCACACTCATAATTTTCAGGTACATGATAATATAGGAGGGAATCACAACCCTACTTTGTTCTCTTTATACCCTGATCGTAGCTACACCAACCATCATCAGCCACCAACTTACGATTACTCCACATGGACTGGGTAACCCTTAATACAATTATTAAACATTTACCTCAATTAAAGCATGCTGCTAAAACGCTCTCCGATATTGATGAATATGCAAATATGATCACCAATGCAATAATGCTAACAAGCAAGGAAACGCTCCCAAGCAATACATGGCATCCTAATCTCAGATCATAGAAACTCACTCCCAAAAATTCATGAATTAATCTTAAATAGAAGACAACTCAGAAAAAAGTTTACATACTCCCGCAACCCTGCTTTAAAACCTTTAATCAATGATAAATATCGTATCAAGATATTTATCAAAAAACAACAGGATAAAACTGGGAACTATTCTGTAAACCTATAGATAATTCCCATCCTGACTCCTTACTATTCTGGAGAAAGTTTAAATCTATAATCAACACCAAGCCTAAGAGTAATATTACTATGCTGCAGTATGTCACTGTCACATCTGATAATAAACAAGTTGAACTACTCGTCCAGCATTTTAGTAATACCTTTGTGACACCAAATTTCGCCTCTTTTGATGCATAGCATTTCAATAATATAAAAGACCATATCAATAACAATTCTAGTATTTTCACATCCAAATTTCCTGTCTCAGTAACACAAAATAATCAAACTTTGAACCTATTTATACAACCAATATCACTAACTGTAATAAAAATAAACTTAAAGAAGATCAAGCACAAAGCATCCATGGACAACAGTATAAACAATATGATTATAAAGCACCTTTCAAACCCTGTTTCAGAACACCTAGTCGTGATATATAATTTATCTCTACAATCAGGATATTACCCAGTAATATGGAAGTCAGCAATCATTAAAGTTATTCCCAAAACAGATAATGATCTAAATAACCCTAGAAATTACAGGTCTATTAGCTTACTCGACATTCTGGGAAAATTAATGGAAAAACTCATACCTCGAAACCAACGAGATTCTGAACAACAACCAAAATGCAGGTAGGAAAAACAGACAGACTTCAGATTACCTCACTAGGCTTACAGAATCTATTTATCAAGACATGAATAGAATGCACACGACCATAGTTACCTTCCTGAATGTGCACAAAGCATTTGATTCCGTGTAACACAACGGTTTAAGACTTAAATTAAACAACAATGGTATACCTACCCCTTTAGTTCGTTGGGTGTCAAGCTGTCTCATCAACCACTCAATTCTACATCACATCCTCTTACTTTAAAAGCAGGCATTCCACAAGGATCAGTACTTAGCACGACACTATACAACATATGCCCCCCCAACCCCCCCACTAACATATACATTAACATCTCAGTATGCAGATGACATCGTGATTTGGATCTCTTCAAATAATCCACATGAAGACATATTGAGAGTTCAAACTTTGCTTGACACTTTACAACAATGGTGTAATAAATGGTGTGTAACCCTCAAACTTTCCAAGACACATCACTTTCCACAAGAAAATTATAAATGCAGGAAAAAAATTAAGAAACATTAGCCTAACACTAAATAACACAGTAATCTCATTCACTAAATCTCTTAAATCCCTAGGTTTAACTTCCTCCTCAAACATATCTTGGAATAAGCATTTTAATGAGAACATTAGGAAAACAAGTAACAGAATCAATTACTTAAGATAAATAGGTGTCAACAAGGGTTTTAATGCCAAAACAATTATCGCTATCTACCATGCTTATATTAGACCTTTATTTGAATATGGTAATGAGGTAACATGCAATATGTCAGACTATCAGTATCAAAAGTTGCAAAATCTTCAGAATAGAGCAATTAAAATAGCCCATAGACTCACAATTTATACCCCAACAGAGTATCGGAACTCACTCTCAGTTATACCCTCTATGCAAGAATGCTTATTTAGGTTAGCAATTCATTATTACAAACACTCGCACCAGCATAACTCCCAAACAAAAAAAAATGATCCTAAATTGCAGTCACCCTAGCCTCCTGGATTAGTTACACATCTCCTTTTAACTTGATCAAGAATATTAATAGCACAGATACACAAGTCACTTGAAATACATACGACCTTGTTTCTTGCCTATTAACCTATTTGTTATTATTTGCCTATTAAGTTATTTTCTTTTCAGCAACAAGTCAAGGGCACTGGGAAGGTAGATTATTCAGCACCTGCCCAGTGAAAGTGAGTTTTTCTTAGGGTAGTCCCATTTCCCCCCTACAGCAAAAGTTTTATTTTTAAAATTTGAGTTCTGTGATCCCAGCCCTGAAAAGGTGCCTGTCCCAAGTTAACGATCAATGATTATATGTTTAAATTTTCAAATGTGTGTTAAATGTTAATTTTCTTCTAGTCAGAAGTTTTGTATATGACTTTTATTCCTTAGCAATTGTCAGGAACTCGCTGATTTTGTTACAGCCTTGATCCTCCAAGCCAGTCACTTATCCTGTCTTTTGTCATGCCTGTTACTTGTTCACTTATCTTTTAGATTTCACACCTTTCCATCATGTTTCCAATTCCTTACTTTCTGCTTTCAAAATTCACAGCTTTCCCAAATATTATGGGGCTCTCAATTCGTCATGCTTTATATGTACCCATGCCATGTACATTCATCAACAACCAGCGAGTTTAACATTCATACCCCATTGTTCAAACTCAGTATGCCACTTAAAGTTTTATCAGAATTCACCGTAGAAGAATAACTCTTAATTCTGCTAGAGGGGTGAAGAGAAACAGAAGTTAATGAGTGCCCCTGGTTGTCTAACAAGCCCTTTACTAGATTTTAAAATCATAATAACTGTCAAGTTGATACAGTACAAGGTAAAAAGCCAGGTAAATTGTTATATTTACAGGACATTTGTTTGCTTACTGCGTTATTATTCTATGTTCTTAGGTGCATTAATTAATTAAGTAAAAATTATTTAGTCTACTAATACCATTAGTATAAAAAAGTAGGCTTAACTTTCATTGACAACTGACAGCAAAAAATAACTAAAATGCAAAAATCAGAAACTTATTAGGTTAGATAAGGAAAGATGGTAAAAAAAATCATAATAAAAATTCTACAAGGTATGCTCTCATGTCATTCAATACAGAAATGTAAGCTATGTGATTTACAATTTGCATGGCAGGATTATTAGTTAGACAGGGTTCAAAGGGCAATAAAACAATAATAAATTACGTATAAACAAATGGAGGTTACCATTACAATTTGCAGCCACTCTACAAAGAAAAAAGGGTAATTTAGATCTATTTCATACTTGTTTCTGGTGGTTATAAGGTTAGTCAAATCAACTGACTCCATACAGAAATAAGGTAGATAAAGTAGCAGATCAAACATAAATTTTAACTGAAGAAAAAATGCTTGATATTTATTTAGGAGGCTTTAGAGACTACACAAATGAAATTTGAAAATTTTTAGATGAAGAAAAGTACTTTTCATATTAAAATGAAAACCTTTTTTGCACTCGGAGCAATTAACACTCTGACTATATATTTATGGCTGAACCTTTAGTAAAAATACTTAATTAGAAATTCTGATTTTTGTGTACAAAATATTTATAATGCTTATTGAAAGCTTACCAAGTTTTGTGAAGATACACAAAATATACTACATATTATAGTATAGAAACCCTGATAGTTACTTTGAGGTTAAAAGGTTGATGTAATCCACCTACCCCAAATGAAAAAAGATAATTCACCTGTTGTCATGTAGAATGATGCACTCCTGTATTTAGCGAGATTCGTTTTCCTATGAAGTTTTTAGATATAACATGCAGTATCCTTACATAAATATGACATTTAACACTTTAGTTATCCATTCTTTTAGACAATAACTTTTTGCTTAAACAAACAAGAAATTTCATATTCACCTGATGAAACTTTAAATTTGCAAAACAAAAATTACAATTTACTTCGTAATCATATAAAAATATATTTAATTGAAAAGGTGTTTCCTTGCAAAAAATACCACGTTTTCATAATTCTAATATTTCTGAAACAAAATTTCCAATTACATATATTAAATATGCCAATTTGTTTTTGCCTTCTCACACTAGGAGTAATTTAGCACTGATCAAAGCACAGGCTCTCCTCTCCAATATGCAGTCCCATCACAGCATATTCTTTTATCAGTACATATTCCAGATAACGTGGGATTGTCCCTAATCCCAAACTAATGACCACAGGGAGACAACAAGCCAACAGTAGCCAATTTTACTTTATACTTCACTATTATTTTTGTATATCATTTTGTTTTAATACCAAGTGTATAATATAAACAACATGATTTTAATACTTATTTATTATTATACTTCTGAGAAGTTTGGTACCAGCTTTGCCATACGTTACCCCCCCTCCCCCAGTAACTAATTCAAAGTACTTCTACTTATAATGTCCTATTCAATTTGGTTTAACTATCACTTGTCCTTCCCATTTTTTACATAAGAAACTTACCAAGCCAAAATGACTGCCTTTTCTAATTCATATGTATAATATATATATACTATATGTTATATACTATATGAAATATTTTATGTTATACATTAAAGGTTACAATAAATAATAAAATTGATGCTATAGTTAAATACTTCAAATTTTATCAATGTTTAAAAGTACTTATTACTTACAAAACCTCAATATACAAAATGTGGCAACTTGTATCAGCACTGCAAGGTCTAATGTTGCCACTTTTGGCTTAGATGTGGCTACAATAAAAGCCTGAATGCATAAAAGTATGTCATGTAAATTAATGTTGATAAAGAATTGTGAATTAACTATTCCACTTTTTAATTATAAATAACTAAATATTTATTGTCACAAACTCCATGCATTGTTGTGAATTACCTACTCAAGGCATTAGTAATGTTAAAATAAATAGATAATAAAACTACTTTGTATCAAGAAATTCCTTCGTATTTCTTACATTCCTTTTCTTTGGAACTTACATTTCCAATAAATGCCCATAATGCAATGATGGCTAAATACTAAGCCTAATAATCACAAGGATTTTACTTTTGAGTTTTAAGTATGGACAGTGTTTTATGAAATATAAGCTTAAAATGTGTGAATTTAAATTGTAGAATTTGTCCACTTTGAATTTTAAAAATACTCGCAATGTAAAACCAATTATTGTAAAGATAATATCTTCAAGTTAAAATGTTTAGTGATAATCTTCCATAATGGGCTAAAAACCTGTTACAGTAATGTTCCTCAGACCTATTCCTTGAATTATAATAATACTAGCAGATGCCTGTTGAACCAATTCAATGGTAAATTTCTTAAAAATAGTGATGAATAAATAACAAATGTGCAGTCAACCCAATACCTTGGATCATAGCATATGTGCAATATGATTGTCTAGTGGGCAGTTTAAAGCTTCTTTTGTTATTTCAATAAGATAAATTGCATTCTGTTTGTTTTTATGCAAATGAGGCTAACTACAATGCAATGTTCACAAAAATGTTTGGATTTTGATGCAATAGATGCATCCAGCACAACAGTGCTAAGATTTACTATATGGCCAATAATATTTGTTTCTGCTGCCTGCCACAATTCCTTGTCATTTTACTATGCACACACACAAAAAAAAGACAGCTACTGAAGTGAGCAGTTTTTGACAATTTTTCATTTCTATAGAAAGTGCCAAAGGGGAGATATTCAATTTATCTATTAATTTATTTCAATTAATTTATTTGATGTGGTAGAATAAAGTCATGTATGTATATAATACTGACATGAAATTAAAATAAAGATATATAAACTGAACAACACCAAATACAAATTCAAACACGTTCCTCCCTTTATGAGTATTTCCATTGACAGTTCTATCTTCAAAATATTTCTTTAAACAAACAATGAAGAAAGTCCCTTTTTTTCTTCTATAATTCCCTCACAAAACGACATATTTTTGTTCATAAGTTTTTTCTCAGACTGACTGTTCAGTACATACCAAGATCGAGTGATTGATGTAGATAATGATATTTAATTGTAATAATTGCAAAACATTTATAATTTTCTGTAATGTACTCTTAAAAATAAGCATTTTGCTGTATAATTTCTTAAGGTTAATCAATCGGGAGGTGCAGAGCATGACAGACAGACATTTGGCTATCTACAGATTCCTATATTCACAATAATTTAGCTTCAAAGTTTATTAATTGTCTAAAGTTACATTATACTATTTGGATAAAAAATTTAGAGCAAAATCCATAGCCTGAAGTATCTGAATTTAACTATGCTTAGTCTGTATTTTAATCAGTATATTAACCACCAAAGTCTGTTAAAACCATGGTAACAGCACAAACACATACAAAACCTAGTTCAGGATTACTACATGACTAAAAAATTGTACAACTTATGAATATTAAACCAGGTTAACTGTATTCTGAAAATAACGCAAAAACAATATGAACATCTACAAGAAATAATATGAATATTAATCTGAGTCTCATTTGACATAAAAAATTCCAAGATCTTAACTTTTATATGCTCTTTGACTCCAAGCAACCAAACCTAAGTCTATCAATTATCTTCAAAATAACATGTCAACTATAAGTGTAACATCTACTTTAATTAAAAAGTTATCTTCAATTATTGTTTTCTTTAGATATAGTAAGATTTCAAGATTCATACCATGAAAGTTCATTCAAAACTGCTACATTGTATATTTGTATGAAAGCTGTGTCTTTAAGATGGCACTTGCAAACAATTCTTCTAGGAATTGTTTCTATGTATGATGAGCAGACAAACTTTCAATGTACTGATACATACAATGGATTTATAAATGTCCAATTCATGTAATATATACATTATATTCCTAAATTAAGCAAGAATATCACACTTTTTGTCCAACAATCAGATAGAAATAGTTATTACTTGTTTTGCACTTCCACTTCTTGTAACAGCTTTCTCAGCCTCATACCAAAGTGTATCCACCCATCTACTGGTTCATCTCCTACAAGCCTCAGGGCCCCAGACTCAGTTACGACACATGTTCCCATATCATTTAGTTTGTATGGGATCAAGTTGTAGTTTCCACAAGTTGGCTGATATTTGAAAAAAAGAAAGTCCAAAGGTAGTTATAATATTAATGATAAACACTGAGGGCCATTTTCCTCCTATTTAGCTCATAATAACTGCTACTACGCATTTATTCAAAGATATGGCCTTTCCTTTTTTTTGTATTATATTAATCTAATCCTTTCAAATAACTTATACTTCAACACACTTTTGTATGAAAGTATGTTTATAAGTGATTAAAACTGTAAACCAGGTTAACACCTTGAAACTTTACACTAACATAACATATTATTCAAAAATATTTCCTAGCAAAGTCATGTAGTGCTGGATAATTTCATAATTAAATTTGAAATTTAAAAAAACATCAAGCTTATCACCTGTACTTATCAGATACCTTAAACAAGTGTAAAATATAAATTAACTCCATTTTTTTTAGTGTTCTAATAGAGAAATTGTGTGCGTTATATTACATTACAATAAGACTAATAATCATTTAAATCGTGTAATATTTCCTGACCTAGGAGGGGTTTCCTCTAAGAAAAAGGTATAATATAGTATTTTAACTATAACTTTTTTGTTGTATGTCACTGGCAACGAAACTTTTCATTGGCAGTAACATACAATAAATTGGGTATAATTGAAATGTATATTCTGATTAAGAAATTAGCACACAGGATCACATAAAAAAGTTGTAATGGTTTTCAAACCAGACCCAAAACTCTAATGCTTTCGAATAGTTAACTATTCTTCTTGAAAACTGTTGAAATGTATGCATCTTTTTTACTAGAAATTTTATTGTTCCAATAAAGACTGATCAGAAAAATTACTATATCCCTTATTATGATATAATATTACACACACACACACATCACTATCTAATGTCATGTTCTGTCAACTGGAACATTCTAATTCTTAAGA